GATAGCAGTTGCCGAAACTTCCTGGCCCCTGTTTTTATAGTTACCACGAGACCGACCGCTGCATGTACAACAAGAATTCTGCGCCGCAATCTGCGGAGCTTGTAGACGTGTCTTTATGGTGTTTTGTGGCTGGCGCCTAGTCTTGTCCATGCCTGAGTCTGTTTAAGAGGATTACCTTAACTCCATCGCTTCATTGATTTGGTAGGTCTCCTAGATGTGTAAACTAGGCCGACCCCTATAAGCGCACCAGTCAGAATCCGCAAACATCATAGATTTTTGTGTCCAGCTCCTCAGCAAGGACTTTGTCGGCTTCAGGATAGGAATCTGGCGCCTGACGATTTAGCTATTAACCCGTCGAATCGGCTGACAAACTTCTTCATTCAGCATCGGGAGGTTGCTTGGCTAGGAAAGATTAGTGGGTTGCTTAATCGATAACGGACAGAGTGACGCAGTGTGTGAGGAGGTGCTCCTCCACGGTGTTTCCCTTTGCTGCACACGCCTAACAAATGCAGCGAAAGTATCGAATAATATGATCACTGCGGCCAAGACCTCTGCCAATCGTTACGCTATCAACCATTAATTCCTTATTTTTTAGAACGGTCTAACGAAAATGCTGCATCATCCGCTCCGAATCGTGCGGGGCAGGCAACGTAATTTTATGGTGGTAAATCGACAGTTAGTTCCTACAAATACTTCTTGAGTTCTTCACTGATAGAAACTACAACCGATTGTCAGCAGGTTGTGGTTCCAACCAGAAGGATGACTGTATCATAGTATCGGAAAACGTTTCCTGAGAGAAGCTAAGTGGTAGATATTCAGCGTTCATGATAATAAACAGACTTTTGAGAAACACAGTTGCTTTTCATATCTAGACGCTACAAACAAGGTTATGGCTTAGGTCATATTCATCAATTTCTATGCACACCATTCACCCGCATTATAGACACGCTTTAGAATCCCGAATAGGTTACTTATGATGTTGTTAGCAAAGAACCGTTTTACTTCCGGTCCCTCATTTATGTCTTCAGCTACAGCTTAAAGTCGCGGCAGTGAGAGATACCACCGAATGTTTGTCGTACGCAGTCAGAATACAAGTTCCCCGCAACAGACCACGGTTTCAGAAATTTTGGCCGTGTCGCTGAGGTTTATGCATTTCCCACACGTTCCGTTGCTACTTTCTTCCACTGTGTACTGACCTAACCTGCTAAATGTCTTCCGCACGTTTTTGGGTAACCTGAGATAGTCCGTCATTTCAAGTGCTAAGTATGCTGCGTTTGATTGGCACCAATTCACGGTGCTGAATTCCACGAGCTTACGGACCCCTTGGATCGTGGTAACAATTGATGAGCCTATTATTTGTTCCCTTTTATAATGGACTGAATCAACTTGCTTCCGCAGGGTGAAGGAGAATATTAACGAAGATGCAGCTCAGACTAATGAGTAAAATAGAATCATTTAACATCTGGAATAACGGGTAACGAAAAATGCTTCTGACAAAGTGGATTATTGATCATTTGGGTAAAACGGTAACAGTTCTCTTGAAAGTGGGCAGATGAAACAATGGCAGTGTTGGTAGAAATCTCGAAACAGGTCAAACACAAGATAATTTGCCGTGCGCCGTGCACGTCCTTTCTAATCGCTGACTTCTGCCGGTAAAGATAAACAATGGGTAATTTCCGTGTATCTTGGCAATAAAACGCGATTTCTTCTTGTGTAACTGTGACCTGGAACATCAATTTGTGGATGATGCTTTGTTTTCAATGAAGACTTATTCCAACTGGAGACTCTAAGAAACGTTGAGCATCTGTCATAAGATGAAAGATTTAACATGCTTGAAAGCACTCATCAAAGAACCAACGTGCATTTTCCAGGTTCCCGACACCTCCACAATTTCACTTGTTGATTGGTCCGCCGAGCTTGACTGAATGTCTGCATACATTTTGCGGGGTGACATTGTCAGTGCGGTTATATGGTTATGTGCGTTGGGCAATTTTGTCGTTGGATTCGTGCTTCCCTGATCGACGGACATTCAGACGAGCCTGGCGAACCAATCAACAGATGAACAATCAATCCGGGCTACCAGTCTTTCAAACCTCCAAGATTTGTTTCCAGCAGCCCAACTCATCCTTAACGATTGTTCCAATGTTACGCTCATGCCAGTCTGTGTGTACTTGCATGATATATAGCACAGTTGACTGCTGACGGGCATAGACCATTATGCATTTATCTGCTTTAGACGGGTGTAGGTTCTTCTCAAACCATTCGGGAGTACCTTCCAGGTTTCTTTACATCCAGCCGTCATGCTCATGAACATCGATCACTTGCTGTAGCCTGACACTAATAGTGGAAAGTCAGCTTTAGGACGCTTGCACTCACGAGTTCGTCAGTAAATAACAGAAACAAATATGGCCCCGGAAGTAAAACTTGGGCAATATAGCAGTCTACTTTAAACACACCCTACAATTAGTCTCGACTCCACACTCCTGCTGGCAGAGGAACTACAAAAATTATTGAGCTACTCATGGGACAGATTGCACATAACCATAGCTTCTGACCATGTAAAAGAGGATGGGATGAGCTAGGCGGTTAAAAGCCGTGGACAAATCTAGTCAGATGTCATCGATGCTGGCCTACTATGTGCTTTTCGCGTTCAAACAACGTGTGCCATAGCTTGGCTGGTAGCATACGAACGGTGTCGATGGGGTCTGCGCTCCCACGGCGTCAGTTTTCAGCTCAGCCTTCCTTCTCTGTCCGTGAAAATTCCCCGGCACGAAGTCCAAACTTTGTATGAAGCCAGGTTTCAACTGGCATAAATGATTTACCCTCGTTGTGTTCTACGAACACTGATGTCCCAGTAGGTGGAAGCCTGAGTGCTGAAGGCCAGTGGAAAGAACAATGAACGAAATTACGAAGGAATGTTAGGCGTTTAAGTTCTGTAAGTCAACAGTTAGCCAAACCACTTGAGGCTGGTAGTACACTTCGCCCTGTAAAGTCAACCTCGTCCGACCAGAGGCGTTATAATCGCGTGATCTTTCACGCACTGGAGTCGTGATCCATCACCCCAAGTGCGCTACGATAACGATGTCGAGTTTTTACAGGGTTTAAGTGACAGACTCATTGACGCTGATGAGGACTCGGTAAAAGTGAGGCAAATTACCCGTCTTGGAAAGCAAGGTGATCAACGAAATCAGCCTATGAGAATCGGTTTTGTGGACGAAGCCAGTCCAAGACTGATCATATCCCGCTTAAGTAGGCTCAAAGGTTTGAAGATCCATGTTCGTCCAGACCTGAACCCAGTAGACAGGGAGCGGCTCAAGTCTGCCATCATTGAGCTGAAAAGATGCACTGGTGAAGGGAAACAAATCTTCGTATCGTAAATTTTCGGGCGGTTTTCAGCAATCTGGGAATCAGGATAAACAGGCTGCTCACACTTCAAGCACGCCCGGCGGCTCATGCTGCGGCCTGCGAGTAGCCTTCACAAACGTTTGCAGTGTTATGAATAAGCTCGATGAGCTTTGTTGTTTCGTCGCGTCTGAGCGGCCAGACGTAGTGGGACTCGCAGAGACATGGCTGCATGCAGAGTTATACACCCAAGAACGAACTCAACGGTTACTCTTGTTTCCGTGCGATAGACTAAAGAATGCCCACGGTGGTGTCTTACTTTACATCCGGTCTTCCCTGCGTGAGAGACTTGTGAGCACCTACCGAAGTGACGATGGCCTGTGTGAGCTACTGTGGTGCTCCATCCGCCTCAGGCGCGGAGAACTGCTTGTGGGCCCAGTTTATCGCAGTCTCCTGAGTCGTTGTTTGGATTGGCTGCACATCCTTCGAACCCACATGAGTCGTCCACACTTTCTACTTATAGGCGATTTTAACTGTCCTCGTGTACGATGGCCTGATGTGCATTTGATGCCTGGACATAGTGAGTTTGAAGGAAAGTTCGTGGATTTGGTACTTGAAACTGGTGCATCGCAAAACATCTGCCAGCCAACACGCATAACTACACGTTCAACCCCGTCCTGTCTCGACCTGATGTTAACGAGCTACGAACAACGAGTGCGTGACGTTAGGATCCTGGAGCCCCTGGCTGCAAGCGACCATTCAGTACTCATGGTTGATATAGAATTATCTTTGCCGTATTTACGTCCGCTGAAACCAGCTCCCAACTAATATAAAACGGACTTTAATTGTCTAGCTCGAACCGCGAGTCAGCTGGATTGGCCTCTGTCCGAAACTGCATTTGTGGAAGATGGTTGGATATTTATAAAAGAGAGATTGACATCATTGTGTTTTCAATTTGTGCCATTAAAATGCCGGAAGGTTTGGCCGATTAAGCCTCATTGGTTTGACAAGGAATATGGAAACCTGGCTCGGAGGCGGCGCAGATTGTGGGACAAATTCCTCCTCTCTGGCTCTGCCAACGATTACGAAGGGTATAAATATCAACGGAACCACTGCAACAGTGCAAAAAAGAATAAACGCTGAGATTTCGAAGAACAGCTCGCAGTGGCCGCGAAGACTGTCTTAAAGAGAATCTTTGCATCTATTGTGGATTACAGGAGTTATGTATCAAAGGGAACCAAGTGAACGACCGTATTTTACTTTTCTCAAGCCCTATATCCTCGATCGCTGCACCCCAGTGTATTTCTGAACGTATAGGTTCGATTTTTATTTTACACGTATGCAATTTATCAAAATATTCATCTCGACATACGTTCGGCAGATGACCCAGATACATTTTGCTTACATCATATTCATCCCAACCATCCTACGGGACGTGTCACGCACTTGCTTTTGTCCCGTGATAAATCATTGTTCATTGTTTGGTGCATTGTTCCACATTAATTGTTTTTAGAACAAACAGCTTTAGTAGTTGAAACATTTTGGTCACCGTGTGGATGCTGCTAACCTTACAATACTTTTAGATAGTCTGCTAGTCAGTTGATATTAAACAAATGTCGCTAAACAACATTTAATTGCTGGAAAATCTACTCACTTACCCGAGTAACGTGCAACTGATCAATTGTCGAATCAGTGGTCTCAATGAGACTATTTTCTCGTAAATTCGGTGCACAATTTGTTTCACATAATCCCGCTCATGGCTATCAGCTGAATCGAAGAGTGGCATCAGATCGGTTAGTAGTTCTGATGTAATGTACTTCTTGCCCAGTGTTGGCTGGAAATCGTTGCGACTGACGAAGCGCAGAAAAATTTCGTACACCCACTGTAAGAGAGCGCAGATATCGATTGGTTTAATTACGAGAATTTGGGTACTTATGGCCGGGGTGCTTTCGAATGCCAATATATTGATCACTAAATGCTATTACTGCATACCCGAGTTACGATTGGTGCCCAGGCTCTGATGAATGTTGTACTGTTTACTTCGAGATACGTGGATCACCTTAGACATCTTTGCTATGGTTTTTAATTGCTACTGCATTAGTAACATGCCAAGGCTAAAAATAAATTTCATAACTTGTATTCGGTGTTTAGATGAATGTACGAAATAAATGCCTGCAACAACGTTGGACAAGGATAAATGTTGTATTTGCAGCCGTCCACGAATGGATATGGAGCCATCAAAAACCACAACAATCAAAGGAAGCTTCAGTTGTTCTGAAAAGGAAACCGGACAAAACATAGGGAAAGACATGGTTAGACAAGGAGGAATTCCAGTTAATCAGTGATACTAGACGCCATGGCTAATTCCCATCATCTGATTTTATACCTCAAAACTGTTCATCAGGCAAGTGCGTTTGCTAAGTGTTAGTTAGACTGCCTGCGTAACCCAGCTCAACATGCCACCTCATGGAACTTTACATGCGAGCACTACGTAACAAGGTTCGAGATACAAGTACAGGGCAATAGGGCAACTTTTTTGACACCAGTTGCTAGCAGAGAAACATTCCACAATTGGCTGTATGCTCAGACGTGAGCAGAGACCTCAGAGTATGACACTTACATTGCTCACATAATTCATGGAAAATCGAACGTAGTAACTACCTGGAACAGAACTGGGCGACACTCGAAAGCGATTTCGGATTCTAGGCACACATGAGATGTCTAATTTCGGTAGATGCGAAACCTTTCTAACGCCTGCCTTGGAATAAACATATAGTCTATATAGCGCTTTTGAGAAAAGAAACCTATTTGTTTCCTTTTATCTGGAACGTTCGATCTGCATTGAGATAGCACAGAAGATAGCGCTGCAACACCCTTTCAAAACCCGTTGCTAAGCTGCTACCCATGTGATTTGCGAAGGTGAATGATCTGCAATTCACAAGCACTCCCAACCTAGCAATTCCACCCTAGCCGGTTAACGCCATCCCAGTGTACACCAGTTCGAAAAGCTTGCCAACTCTTTGCAGAGAACCTCATTATGATCGTTAAAAAGCGGAGGTAAGGAGAATTCTCGCCGGCGGCTTGGAAACGGTCGATAATGTGCCATCAGTTCGAACATCGGCTCTACTGAAACGAAAATGCGCTTGTGAATGCACTGAAGAAGACGTTTAATATGGATGCACGAAATTGTATGAATAACTGCTCATTCCTAACGTTGAGAAAACTGTAGTGAAAGCAGCCAGACAGTGCATTACGTCAGCTTCATTGCTTTGTAAAACTGCAGATAAGAAAAAAGCAAGCTTGATCAACTGCGAATGGGGAAACTCTAACCGATGTTTGAGATCGATGGACTTCGGTGACCGAAGTGCACCTTGTCGGCTTTCTTGGATGCTGGGGAGAAAGACAGTGTGAAAGTGATCGATTAGGCAGGCCGGCCTGTGGTGGCGGTTTTGCTCTTTAAAGATAATGCATCAGCTTGCTTTCAACCCCAGTGTTATACTGTAACTAACGACTGAATGGCAAAAGTTTTACCAAAAGTACATGTTTCAACAATAAGTACTCATTTGTAACATTCTCAAATCTAGTCTTCCGGGTCTCTATACGCTTCTGTCACTGCTACTTCCCGTCTGTTTTTATGCACATCTCATTTATTTGATCATTCGTATAATAGGAAACCGACGCCCCAGCTGTAGCTTTAACCATTGGCTCTCATAATTACTGTCCCACCAATCCTATGAACTGCCGTTTTCGAATATATTTTTTCAATATGTTAGCGTGGAAATCCTCAAACTTCCATATACAATGTTATTGATTGATTAGCTGCAGGAAGTCCAGTTCACATCACTACAAGAACCAGTGGGTAGAGTAGCGGACTGATCTGGCAGAAGGCTGGCTGGTGGCGGATAGTCCTGACGTAGGTCGAAGGAATGTGTAGCAATCCAGAGGTTCCCGATTCTCCTGGACTCGTTGTACATAATGTAAAATAAAATGTTCATCTTATTGCCTAACTAAGCGGTCAATATAGAATGTTGAACAGAAAAGCAACAGTGCTTGTCTAAACGGTGGGTACCATGTGCCAAGACTGGATCCACCAAACTGACGCAATAATTACGTACTTGTTTTGTATCACCAGCGTTACACTATATCGATGTCCAACCTCGAGGCCACTGTATTGTGTTTTAGTGAACATTCTTGCTGGTGTCCCTCAGCCTTCTCTTTAACCCTCGATGCAATTAATCGACGATGGATGAGTCCATACAATGGGTCGTTTAGCCTGAGGTAGCTGCTCCCATATAATTTGTTGTGCACATTCCTACAACAAATGCGACATTCCTTTCACTGTCTTCATTGCAGGTGCAGTTTCGTCTGTGGGCAACCGGGTCTCAGAATACCAACTTTGCGTCAATTGCAAGTTACTGCCATAACTCGAAAGCAACAGTAACAATGAACTATGATTCATAACGGGCAAAAAAGCAGATGCTTGACATGTCCCGTAGGGTGGTTAGAGTGCGAAAAGATAGATCAAGGGATAATGGGATCGTCGGGTTCGGGCGATTACAGAGTTAAATGTACTGCCGTATAAATTAGCTTGAAATTAGCATGTGCGCACACAAAGCAATAAGGGGAGTGGTTATAGATCACTTAATAAGCGAGAAAAAATAAAAGATAACAAGAAGGTCGCTTATTCATGTACAGCTATCTCGGGTAGACGGGATACAGAATTCCAGTTTCTAGAGTAGTAGCGTTTATCAAATTGTGTGCAAGGGGTTTGGAGTGACTCATTCACGAGTAGGGTTGTGGCACTGTCCACTGTCTGTTGTGCATTAGTGCCAGCATCTGGTGGTCATGGGCTATAGCCCGTAGTGTGGATGTGACAGAGTATCGTCAAGGTGTTTTTGAAAATGGACAGGGTTGGAGCATTAATTACATGTTGCGTGATGGCGTTCCAAAGCTGTGACACTGGAAGGGCTGTACTGTGTGACCAGCTTACACTGGTGACCTCTTAGCAGGGTATTTTGACTGAGTAGCAGAAGGGAATGGCATGGGTGGTTGCTTGGAGTTTCTCAGGACCTGGCACACCATTGTGAGATCGTCCCTTAGACGCCGATTACTACCACTGTATATTTTGAGGGTCTTCGGCCTGAGTGGCTAGGGGAGGCTGGTCAAACATCTGACGCTCTTCGTTGCCCTACGTTGTACAGTATCGAGCGCGGTGAGATGGTACTTGAGCCAGGGTTGCCACGCTCGAATAGCGTATTCCGCGTGCGGCCTCACGTACGTACTAAGCATTTTTGGTAAGATCGGAAGGGTCAAACTTCCCGAAAGCTCTGCGAAAAAGACCGAGGTACTGGTTTGATTTTTTAGCTGCCTTTTCAGTCTGTCTCAAACAGCCGAGGTCATCTTGAACTCTCAGGCCGACATCGTACTCGTGAGATGTCCGCTGTAGAATTTGTGGTCCTAGGCGGTACTTGTACATACTCTTGTGATGTATGCTGAGAACTTTGCACTGGGTGACGTTGAAATGCAGGATGTTCTCGGTGGACCATGTGTAAGCTTTATCCAGGTCCTCCTGTAACCCTGTGTGATCCTCCACTGCAGCTTTAGTACGCTATACCTTTAGATCATCAGCACTAGCAAATAGTTGGAAGATAGCACGCTCGCGAGATCATTTATGAAAGCCAGGAACAGGCGAGGTCCAAGTGCCGAGCTCTGAGGTACGCCGCACTGAAAGAGAAAAACTATCTGCTCTCAAGTACTTTCAGTCGATAAACCACACCAATGCGTAAGAAAACATAGCAATTAACATAGGGATAGATTTTAATGTATTGGTTGCACTCTTGCTAAACGAACGCGTATCCTATGCCCATCTTACCGTTAGCAATAACTAGTTACGAGCCAGAAGTTTCGTTCTCTTCCTTGTCTTCCACTATGGGTTGCTCCCGCTTGCTTCGAAGTTTCCGGATGCAAAGTAGCTGGGTCATAATTGCTTCAGCCATTATTTGTTTTCATCGGTTTTACGTTTACAGCCTATGTATTCCAATCATCTCGCCCGGTCTGTAGAGCCCGTATTGTCTTAGGTATCCAAAGGGAGTTGGGTAAGCAGTTTAACTCCCCGTCTACAAACACAGCACCTTAATAAATCAGCCAAAGAACGGCAGCCCTGCATGAGAAGCTTTTCCTGAGATACCGCAGCAATCCCGAGATAATACTGATGGAAATGAAGAATAGTAGGAAAGGAGAGGAGAAAGATTCCAAGTATAGCTACCCAAAGATATTATTATGGGGTTCCGTCCTAACTACTTGCTGACAACCCAAGTTCAATTTTACTTGACTAGTTTACGACGATACTGCTTTCTAGTTGCTGTCACTGCGCCATGTGATGGACCGTCTTAAACCGCAGGTGATTTAGCATTAGATACACACTAACCAGGCAGGCAACCTAGTGGGCTGGTAGTATCAACAAACAACGCTTTGAGAAAAGCGCAGGACTGGTCGCGAATACGCCAGTCGGGGTTGCGAGAACGGCCAGTAGCATACCGTTTGGTCTTTAGTGAGGTCCCTTCCCGCTAGCCATCCGATTTTTTGCCTTCATGTCGCGTCTATTGGTATATACTGTGCAATGCGGAAACACGGTGCTCCTGCGCAAACGAAGGAAAGGCAAGCGAGGCATGATAAGCACTGCATTGCTTTTGATCAAACTAACACCTGTTCGCGCACCTTCCCCCTCCTCAGTGGAAGTCTATACTTTTGCAGACGCGATCATTGCTGTAGGAGTGATCATTGCTAATAACTGTATGGAAACAAATTTTAGTAGCCCAGATGGTCTGAGTATTCGCTGAGCCCGGCATTACGAGTGCCAAAGTTTCGTCACTAATCGAGGTC